CTTTCTTTTTTTGGTGTCAAAACTTTGAAAAGGAAAGAGATAAGTATTAAATTATTTAATTATTAATATTTTGTTAAAATAATCTTAATTAACTTTTATTTTTATTTTTATATATATCTTGGTTGTATTTAAGTAATAAGATGGTCTTCTTTGTCAGTTTTTGTGCATTCTACTTAATTTGTCTTCTCAATATAATCAAAAATATATTCATGCTAAATCTAGAAATTCTTTAAAAAATAATAATAAAAAATCCCTTACAGTGTGTTTTGTAAAAAAAATTCTAATAAAAAAAGGTAAGAAATAAATTTATTTATGAATTAAGCTAAATTTAAACATCAACGTACAAAGTTAAAGTTACTCTACTTATAATTTAGAGGTCGCAGGTTTGAGATAAAAATAATTTATCTATAAAAATACGAAAAATGTACATACATGGGCCTTTTGCCGGATGGAATAGTTCTGTATTGAGTCACTTTTTTAACCAATAAAAGTCAAAATATATATTATAACAGGAAATAAATATTATATATCATTTTAATAATTTTGAAGACATATATGAATGTGTACAGTGTTAAGTGAGGAAAATTACATCCATGAAAACAATTTGTGTGGATTAAAAAAAAGAAACAATTGAATGCACATGACAGGGCAAAGCCACTGTCAATCTTTTAAGGCATGAAAAGACCATATAACTACTGGCTGAAGTTTATAGCAAAATAAATGGTGGGTCTTCGAGTGGTACAACTCCATGAAAGCTCCAATTATCGAACTACCCAATCTTTTAAGGCATGAAAAGACCATATAACTACTGGCTGAAGTTTATAGCAAAATAAATGGTGGGTCTTCGAGTGGTACAACTCCATGAAAGCTCCAATTATCGAACTACCGTAATAACATTATTATGTGCTTCTCTAAAAAAAAATTATCCTTTTTTTTTTATATATACTTTCACAAAGTTTCTAAGTTTGTATCCATTTTAACGGTCCACGGTAAATTCGACTAATTTTTATTCGTCTTAAATTATAGTGATTAATCCTACAAGTACTATTTGCTGCTGAATTATCCCGTTCTGATTAAATGATTAATTTATATTTCAATATTATAGGAAAAGTTCATATTAATGCAATGAAAATTACGAAAAGAAAATGTTAATCCATATTGTAATAATTTTATCAAGTTGTCTAAAAAACAAGGAAAGTAATTGTCAATTGTTGAAGGATTAATAATTTCTTTTAAAATAAGTTCCATTTATGCAATTAAAATCAATTTCAAATGTGTAATAATATTAAAATCTTGCAATATTACCTATAGAATAAGTGAAGCAATTGTCATATGAATGACAATTTTGTTTACACATTTTTAATTTCTTAATATTCTGTCAATGATCCTACCAAATTTATCATTTAATTTAAGGTCTTCATTCTCCTTAAGGAAGGGTGTGTACTATGACAAGTCATCACGTCTTTTTTTTTTTTTTTCCTTAAGCGAAGGGTGCTTGTTAACCTATGGACAAGCTTCCATCACCGTCTTTTGTTTTTTTTCTGCTATTGGAAAGGGAGTGGTAATTTGAAAAATTTACAACTTTTCCCCCATTATTACCGTTTTGCACGTTTTTTTTTTTTTTTTGCCTATTGGAAAGGAGGTAATTGAAAATTTAACTTTTTATACCGTGAAAGTTTTAAATTCATATTAATAATGTTCATTTTATCTAAACAGTTGAATACTCGCCTAAACATGATTCAAATAAGATGAATAAAAATTCATTCATTTAAAAATGAAGCAAATATAAATAAAAATCCAGTCAATTAAAACTTAAACCATTTCGCCTCAATATGGAGCATATGATAGAGTGAGTATATATTTAATCTCATCTCCCACACTCTTGGTAAGCATCCCTGATTCAAATCTCATCCATTTTCAAATTCAATTTATATGAAAAAGAAAAATTATAATAAATGGGATTTTGGTTTACCTTCTTTCAAAATTCAATTTATATGAAAGATAGATGAGAAATTGAAAAGCAAAATTTGTACTATGTATATATAAAAATGGAGGACAAGTACCGTCAAGTAACAACAAATAATTCAGCTGGAGATCTTCATTAATTAACAAATTACCAATCATAGTTAAGTCCTTCACACACAGTCCAGCTTTCTATTATGATGCGACTTTATTTTCTCCCTACTTTCTAAATCTGAATAAAAAGATCAAATGCTTCCATTCCACCATGTCACTATGAGTTATGAATCTTCATTGGAAAAATAAGAAAAAGTAGATATAAATAGCAATCACTGTCTCATCTCTTCAGAATCTTTCCTTATGTGGAACAACAACCTCAATCCATCACCAATACAACTAAGCTGCCACAATAATCCTTTCCTGTTAAAACTCACCCACATGTGTCTTCTTCAAAACCCTAAAAGCTAACCCACCAAGGTAAACTCTCAAATCAAATTCAACCTAAATGTAATGATTTTATTTATAATTTATATGTATATTTGGAAGAATCAATCAATTAGGATTACAGTCTAATTAAAAAACTAGATCATTTACTGATGTTAAGACGAAGGGATTTGTGAATGAATTCATTTTTAGTTTAATCTCAAGAATCGAATTCCGATTAATAATTTGGAGAAAAACCCATTTACTAAAAATTTTAAAATAAAAAATATCATAACAATTTGAACACTTGACATCTTATATTATAAGGCAATACTCGAACATTAAGCTATCAATTATTGCAACAATGAAAAGAAAAATAGAACTAGCACTCACTTTGGGATGAGGACTTACTACTTACTGTTTTCAATAGTTATTTGCACTGCATTCAGCTACCTAACACATACAAAAATTGGTACATTAGAAGGGTGTCCTTGCGGATCCTCTCATAACAGGGAAAGGTCCTCTCAATTCTCTTGAAATCGTCAAAAAAAAAAAAAAAAAAAAAAAGAAGCGCGTGTCCTTTGCGGCATCCTCTCATACGAACAGGCGAAAGCGTCCTCTTTCAATTCTCTTCGGAAATCGCTCAAAAAAAAAACATAAAAAAAAAAAAAAAAAAAAAAAAAAAAATGGAAGAAAGGTCTTAAAATTCCTGTCTGCAGAGGCGGGGAAACAATGATGCACAAATCAGAAACAGGACAAAGAGGAGGACGTCATTTTTAGAATTTTACAGGTTAAGCATTCTTCCTTCATTTATTGTCACGTTCTTAATTGTGCTCATTACAAACTGATACAAGTTTTTGAATACCAATAAAATGGTTACGGAGATCATACTACACCCAATTATAGCCCAACCTGAATCGTCGGGTCTTTTCATTTATCGGCTAACATAGGACCCTTCAGAGGATAATTCTTCAAAACGCCCTTCATATAGTGCTAAAAATCTCTTCTAATTCAATGCCGCGAATATGTTAAAATTCTGGAGCCACTCTTTCGCGCGAGCCAATTAAAATTCTTTTCGTAAACACTTAAAAAAAAAAAAAAAAAAAAAAATGAAGAAAGGTAAATTCCTGTGCAGGGGAAACAATGATGCACAAATCAGAAGGACAAAAGGAGACGTCATTTTTAGATTTTACAGGTTAAGCATTCTTCTTTATTGTCACGTTCTTAATTGTTGCTCATTACAACTGATAAAGTTTGAATACAATAAATGGTACGATGATAGTACACCAATTATAGCCCAACCTGAATGTGGGTCTTTTATTTATGGCTAACATAGGCCCTTAAGGATATTCTTTCAGCCCTTCATATAGCTAAAATCTCTTTATTAATGGCGGAATATGTAAATTGGAGCACTCTTCGCAATAAAATCTCGTAACACTTTCACTTTTAACTTTCACTTTAACGCGTTAAATACTTTAATTTATAAAATTACACATATTAAATAATTTAATTTATAAAATCATCCTATTAAATTTGCTAATTTATAAAATTAGATCGATTAAATACTTATTAAATAATTAAAAAAATATAAAAATTATTGTTTCAAAAGTTATACTAACCATATATCATATAAAAATTTATATATAAACATCCGAAGATTCTAAAAAAATTGTTATTGTTAGCGTGGAGTTTTATACAATATTACCAAAAATCATAATTTTAAGGATATAATATTTTACTTTAAATTTAGAGTGCTATAAATTTTTCACGAAAAGTATGATGATAAATTTATGTATTTGAACCCTTTGTCAATGGAAAAAAAAAAAAATTTAGTCTTCTCTTTGTATAAGCACCTATAGAGGTGATTCTAAATTAATTAATTAATTAATTAATAACAAAACCTTGTTCTATCACATATTCACATGGCTATAAAATAACTAATAACTATAATTAAATACTAAACTGTCACCTTCAAAGCCTAATTGGAGCCATAAAAAATCTAGGTAAGAATTTCCTTTTTTTTAAAAAAAAAAAAAAAGTTTTTCTTCATAACCATTGCACTTTATCAAAAAATTAGAATATAGCAATGCAAAAAAACCACCAGTTGTACAAGGAGAATGTGAGAAAGCAGCATGACATTTCATCAATATGTCCACTTCAGTACTATTATCACATATGCATTGCAGATTGAAAGCCTCAAGGTAAATACACATCAATAAGCAAACTATGAGGTTCTGTTCCTCTGAGCTAAACTCCGATGTTCCTATAGCTTGTTATCAGCTAAAATTCCAAGAAGTTGAAAAATCAAAGACATTATCATCAGCAATTGTTTTTTATCACCAAATTATAGCCTGTAATGTAGATATGTCATTTAGTTTTTATTTTAGCAGACAAAACATGCTTAAAATGTAGGCAGGAAAACAGTTCTTGCGAAAAACCCCACATCAGATCAAACCTATTTAGAGAACAATAGTAACTTAGGCATCTTCTATTATGGAAGTCCCTTCAAGAACTTGCCAATGATAATGTCAACCACAACCAACAAGAAAACATAGTGAAACAACAAAAAATAACAGTAATTACAGCATAAACTATGGCTTAAAGTTAGCATATGAAACTCCTGGAATGTGCTAATTCATGTATCCATAATAACCATGCAGGAGCAACTCAAACATTAACAGCGACAATATACGTAGCTCAAACTCTAGACTGGGACTTAAAAGCTATAAATGCAGATAATTAACCCTGCTAAAATATTTGTAGAATGCATAATACCATTTCACAAGAGTCGAACAATATAACTAGAAAAAGGTTTTGTAACTGTCCTAAGTTTTCACAATATATGCAAGCATTGTAACATTTCCTAAATTCTTCCTCCTAAAGATACTGCAGACATTCAACAGCATCTTAACAAAACTGGAAGTAATCTTGCATGAAAAACTCACTGTTGTGAACAGCAAAATCTGAGAGTGCCATAGAATTAATTAAAAACAATGCCCATCTCTTTGCGCTTCAACTCCAATGCTATTCGCTCATTCTCAAGCTTCATCCTCTCATTTTCCACCCTGAGTTTTTCTAGCTCATGATCTCTCTTCCTGCTAAATCTTTTCCATTTGAATCGCTGTTTTTCTAATTCCATCATCTCAAGTTGAATTTGTAGCTTCTGCTCTTCTAATTGAAGTGTTTGAGATTCCATCCACTGCTTATGTAACCAAGCTGCTTTTGTACTTTCAGTTGACATTTGATTCATATCAACTTGAGCAATCTGCAGATGAGGATAGGAGCCTTTGTTACCATCTTGAGATGGATTCCAAAAACAGGAATCTTTGCAGCCCCGGCCATGTCTCAACCTTTTCATAGAACCCCCTAAGACCCCATATATTCCCCTGTCATTGCCATGGGAAGGATGCTTCTCTTCAAATTCATCATGGTCATCAGTTTCCACTTCTTGATCATCTTCATCAAGATCATATTTTTGGTTCCTTTGAATATCATCATTATCATGATCATCTTTACTTCTAAGTGCCAATTGCAAGGAATGTTGCAATGCCGGATCATGAGGTAGATGCAATCTATTACTATTATGATATGAACACATCTCTTCATAGAAGAGATGCTTCGAGCTTAATATTTTCCTGACATCATCTTTCTCTTTCTCTGTTAGATAATCTATATGAACTAGAAGCGCCGGGTTCTCCACAACTTCACAAGAAGTTCCCCTCCCAAGCATGTCATTTAGCTTTTTATACCTTTTGTTAAGATCATTGAATTTATCCTCACATTGCTGACGTGAAACATGGAAACCCCTTTCAGCCATGACTTTGGAAATTAATTTCCATTTGCCTTTTTTTTGTAAAATAGCTAACTTTCTTCTCACCCCACCATCACCATCCGAAGACATATCCTCACCTATATAAGACACAGCAGTTATCAAAAGCCTCACCATCTTATCAGTCCACTTAACACGCTGCCAAGGCAATCCCTTTTTCCCTTCACTGTGACCATTGCCATCATCTTCAGTATAGCTTGGCTCATCCTCATCACTTGCTGAATTTTTCATCTTCTCTCCTTTGTTGTAATTAGTCTTGGAAATGGTTTGATCAGAGTTATTCAAGGCCCCTATGGTAAGGGGGAAACCCTCATGAATTGAGGGATGGACTGAGGAGCCCTGGCGATGGATAGGGCGTTGTTGATTGTGTATAGCATGTGGATATTGTGTTTGATGATGAATTCTTACCGCTCCTTCCAAGTCAAGGCCTCCAAAAGGAGAACCACCAGGAAGCATACATCCTCGTGACAAATTTCCTTCCATTTTGTCAGTTTTAGAACAAATTAGATTCATACCCATGAACCCATTTTCCATAAACCTTATAAAGATGACGCTTTAAGCTCTTAGAATCTAATTATCAATTGGTTCACTACCTTCTCAGCTATTATACACAAAACAAAGAATAGCCATTTCTTATTTTTCCTTTTTGGAGAATCCCATCAAATCCCAGAACTTTCTAGATCCTCAAGCATACATTTTCAATTCTCACGAAGCAAACAAATACAAACCCTTCATTTATAAACTCAAAATCTCAGTTGAAATTTACCAAAAAACCACAAACAGTCAAAACAGAAACAGAAACAGAACAATATCAACAATAATCCTTCAATGTTCAATAATAGAGAAGCGAAAGCTACTTATCTGCAGCAGAACAACTCCAAATAGCTAATAGTCTACTACCCACATGCAGGCCTTGAAAGACAGAGAGAGGGAGACCAAGCTTTCCTATAATGAAGGCAAGAATCTAGAACATCTCCTATCAATCAAGCTCAGAGATCTTTCAGCAACAAAGAAAAGAAGTATTTACAAAGTAAACTGTGTGTGATGAGAATATTTATAAGTATATGTTTCAGCAGGTTCAATGTATGAGAAGATCTAATGGGTCCAAAGTGACATTACTTTCTTTGATTTTATATTCCAGACCCGACAAAATTGCTAATACGAGGATAATACCAATAGAAACTTGTATTGCAGAACACTTTTTTTTACCTTTCTTTCTTAATTTACTAGTTGGTGCTGCAATTTAAATTGTATTTTCTTTCTGGGTATATAATTTAAATAATAATGTGATACTATTCTTAGGACAATTGAGAACCTTTTAATAAAAGAAAAGGACATGAGGTTGGCCAAATTCATGTATTTGGCATATAAATCTACTGTCAAGTGGGGGACACAAATCACAACTTGGGTTCATATTTTATGCTTGCTTTTGGAACGAGGCATTAATAAAATAAATGGCTCAATTTCTTTTATTATATGATCTTAATAAATTAATCATACGATGTTATTCATCAATAGCTTAATTCTAATTAAAATTTTAATCATAGATGATTTTGCCTTTTTCTTGAATAAAAATATTTGTAAAAAATTCATATTTGTTTTTATATTGTATAATATTTTGAATTAATGGACGTTCAAATTGATTGATCAATTATAATTAATAACTGGTGTGAAATTAGTTTAATACCACTTTTGGTGATTGAATCAATATTTTAAAAATCTGTTAGAATTAGTTGGTCTAACCATTACTCAGAAACTATAATTGGTTTGATTAGACTTAAAAAATTGAAAATGAAAAATTAAACAAATATAAATTAAAAAAAAAAAAAAAAAAAAAAAGGGACCTTCAAATTGATTGATCAATTATTAAATTAAATTAAACTGGCTTGTGGCAACATTTAGTTTAATACCACTTTTTGGTGATTGAATCCAATCATTTTTAAAAATCTGTTAGAATTTCAGTTGCGTCTAACCATTACTCAGAAACTATAATTGGTTTGCCATTAGACTTAAAACAATTCGAACAAATGAAAACATTAAACCCCCAAAAAATAATAAATTAAAAAAAAAAAAAAAAAAAAAACAAACTGGAGAAGTAAGGACAAACACTGATATAGAACCGAACTTGCTAATAAACAACTTAGCCGTTTGGAATGTCCATACAGCACTCTCGACGTTAAAATTATTGTAAACTTGTGCTTTCCATATTTAACTGCCAAACTTCGTATTTGAACAGTATTACTTTTGATATATGTTTGAAAAAAAAAAAAAAAAAAAAAACTGAGAAGTAGGACAAACTGATATAGAACCGAACTTGCTAATAAAAATTGGTTGAATGTCCATAAGCATCTCGAGTGAAATTATTGTAACTTGTGTTTCCATATTTAACTGCACTCGTATTGAAATATTTACTTTTGATATATGTTTGGATATTTCTAGCTTATATTTTTTTTATTTAAAGATTTATTGGTGCTTGTTATAGTCATTGTGTTGGCATATAAAATTTATTATCATTATTAATATTTGGTGATGAATGGTTTAAAAATAATTATATATCTATAATTATATTATTAATTTGTTCACTATATAATTTTTCATAACTATACTTTTAATTTTAATAAAAAATTAAAAAAATTCATTTGAATCTTGTTAATCTAATTCAACAGCAATCTAATCATCAAACTGATTCAATATGTCTTTTAGTTTTAAAAATATTATATGTAACTTAAAGTAATATGTAAATTTTAATTGGTCTTTCCATGTCCTTAAAGAATGTGATATTTGCGTTCTTTTCACCGTAAAAATTATTATCAATTTGTTGAATTTTATTTAAATAAAAGGACATTTCATGTTATTCATTCTATAATTTTATCCACCTCTAAATCCATATATACTACAAATCTTTTTAAAAAATATTGATAATATTAATAATTAAATATTAATATTATTGATATACAAAAAAATAATATATATATATATATATAGCAAAGTTTAGAAATGATTAATTCACTTTTAAAAAATCTTCAACTTTTTAAAGTTTAAGCGTTGAAAATATCTTCAATTAATGCACAAATATTGAAGCGTATCTCCAATGAGATCTTACCTTACACATTTTACATATTTTTTTCATTAATATTTGCATAGTGATCTGATATATAGATTAGTGTTTTACTTACATTAACGTGAGATTGATTAAAAAATAAATAAGAAAAGAAAAAGAAAAATTGTGCATTATAGAAAAATTGATCGTCTTTCCCTTATATGTTCTCACTTTCTTCAATCTTGCCCCATCAATGCCTTCTCTCTCCCTTCCTAAAACCTAATCAAATTTCTACTCGAAAGCCCTTGTATTTTTTTATTGGAATTCAGCAAGCCCAGATTTGGCGCTCTATCTCTCCTCCATAGCTTGATTTCTCTCCACTCCGTTTCTGCTTTTATGTCTCTTCTTCTCTTACAAGTGTTTTGGTACCAATTCTTCCCGTGTTCGATTTCAAGTGCGGTCTTCTTTTATTCATGCTTGTATTTATTGTGTTTGAATGGGATTATTGTACTTTATTACTGTGATTTTGGAGATAGTGATAGATATGGGGTGATTAGAATTTATCGCAGAATTCTCTTGCAATTGGACAAAAGAAAGGAAATTGATTTCTAAGTGTTTTTTATTGGAGAGGGAACAAAGTTCCCTTCTTTATTTCTTAAAAATATTACCGATTCTTGTATTGGTCTTTTCCCAATTTGGTATAGCATATGATTGTGCATTAATTTGGCATTCTTTGGATTCGCTTCTGGGTATGGAGCTAGCTATTTGTATTCTTTCTTTTTCTTGCTATGCTTGCTTGTTGTCATCAACTAAACAAGCAGCAAGCTTGTTTTTTATTCAATTGAATTTAATTTGATTGTATATTTCTATGTGGTGAACTGTGATTGTCATCAAGAGTATTGGATGGATGGAGTACCTCAATTTCTTGCAATTATTTTTCATCTAGGTTGGTTTGCCCATTGGCATTTTCGGGCCTATTGAGAATTAATTCCATGCATAAAACAGAGAACTTGATGTTCATTCTTGATAGCCAGAAGACATTCAGATTAGCCTGCTGGCAAAGTTCTAGATAAGCACACAGATCATTATATATTATTTGGCAATTTGTTGCCCTATCGTTGGGATGGGAAATCACCCAATGAAGTTTTCTTTTTCCATCTCTTTTTGAGTCATGGTTTTGCTTTGCAATGTATGATTGAGTCATTTCGATCTAATTATAAATCTCAAAACATAAATTATATAGTCATTAATTGTAATGATGGAGAGGTTACTCTTAAACTGTGATTCATTTTTTCCCTATATGTCATAAAGAAAGTTTGAATCTTCATGTCCTGTCATTTCTTCTTCTCCTTCTTGGGCCCTTCTCTGCTAGATTTTTATAGTGAAGTTAGTGATCATAATAAATGACAAATGACTAGCTAATTCAAATCATACATATATAAGATTTTCATGTCCAATTAGATTGGATGTGGCCAAGCTTCAGAGGAAAGAAGTGTTTTTTCATATTAATGGTTTTTCTGATTACACGTGTTCTTGAAAAAATGAGACCCCATCATTAATTGTTGGAAAAGGAAGGTAGATGGATGGTTGATGAGTAAAAATATAAACTTCTGTAGTAGTTGGTTTTCTGATTTCTGGTTAGATGATTTTATGTTGACGAAAAACTCACCAACCGGAACAGTGCCTCTTTCGATAAATACAGAAAAAATAAAAGAGCCATTAATTGTAAGCTTCGCAAGTAGGTTGTTGCAACTCTCAGTAAGCCTTGCAGTCGCAGAGTAGTTTCACTCTTTCCAATCTGTACAATCTTTTAATCTATTACTGTGATCAATCTGCTGGCAAGAAATGTAGTTCCTTGATGTCCAATAACTCATAACTGTCTAGAAGAATTTTCTTTTTTCCCTATCTGTTTGTGATGTTTCTACGAAGCTTTCCGTTATTCTTTTTTTTTTCTACTATATATTTTATCTTCTTTTTGTGGACGAGAGGATGTAAGTTACCATGGCCAGTGAAAATTTAAATTAGATTAATAATAAATTATTTTTATTTATTTATTTTCTCCACATTTAATAAAATAAAATAATTTTATTAATTAGTTTGTTGCCTTGAACTTTTATTCTCTATACCATAATAAAAGCACAAGGAGCACAATCAAATGGAGGGCAATAAATTGGGACTTAAAAGAAGTTCTCAATAATTTCGGATTTAAGTAGTCTTTAGTAAATTCAGTCTTAAGTAGTCCTCAGTAAAATTCGGTGTTAAGCGGTCTTCAATAAATTTGATCTTAAAGCAGTTCACATCGAGCTGAAGCAGCTCAACATTTAAACGGACTCAGTCCACTTATTTGGACTTAAACCAGTCCGTTCAATTCAGTTTAAATAACTTAATCACAACAGTCTACCGGCTATAACATTTGTTGGACATCTTGTAGGGGGACTGCTGATAATATTAATAATTGAACATTAATATTATATATTTCACATCGAGCTGAGAAAGCAGGCTCAACATTTAAACCGCGACTCAGGGTCCACTTATGGAACCCGTTAAACCAGTCCGTTCAATTTCATTTAAATAACTTAATCCCACAACAGTCTACCGGCATAAACATTGTTACATCTTGTAGGGGGATCTGCTGATAATATTTCAATAAATTAACATTAATATTATATATATATATATATATATATATATATTATATATATATATATATATATATCATCATCCCAACTAAGTCTAGAAAGGGCCTAATTCACCTCAAATTTCTGGAGCGAAGTTTAACGGGATCATATAAAAAAATTAAAATTAACAAATATATATCCAACTAAGTCTAGAAAGGGCTAATTCACCTCAATTTCTGAGAGTTTAACGGATATATAAAAATTAAATTTAACAAATTATTTTTAGTTTTCATGCAATAGATTAAGATTTTTTAAAAAATTTTACTAATTTTTGGACCAATCAACAAAAATTCATTAAAAATTTTATATTCATATTTCTATAAAATTAGTTTTTTAGAACTAATGTTGTAAGTGGATACTCGTTATTTTTACTCATTATATAATTTTTTTCTTGATTTATTTCAAAAGTTTATTATATGCATGATAAGATATTGGGGAAAAAA